CGATAATATCTGAGTTAATTGTGCACTGACATGATTAAGAGGGGATCAGGACGTATTTGAAGGAAGTATCAAAAGTGGAGGGAAATGTAATGGGATCCCTGTGATTATAGCTATTTTTATTATTTATCACTATGATTGCTACTGTTAATTTAATTAATTTTGTAATAAAATAGACTGTGAAATGGTCTCTCAAGGGAAATTATGGAAGTCCTATCACCTGACTTACTAAAAACTGGCATAGACACACCAGTGTGGAACAGACAATGACAAATAAACAGGCATTGGACAAGAATAACAGTTTTTTGTCTCTAATTTCCATGGGAAAGTCCTATATACAGCTCCTGGAGCCTGCTGCTTAAAAAATACTGACAGAGGTACTTAATTCAGCAAAAGAAGTGCAACTCACCTATGTAGCAGATTGCATCATAGCGCGAGTGGGGGTAAGGGTACCCCGTCTGATTGACATGGAGGTACACCGTCCGCACTCCCACCAGGTTCCCGCCACAGTTGGGACGTGCCTTGGAGATGGGATACCGAACGCTGCGGTCTGCCAGCCAACCTGCACTGCACATATCCATGCCACCCTTCCATGCCAGGTATAGCTCTCCGGTGGTGGCCAAACGGGCTCCAAGTCTATGGCACTTCTCTGCGGCTTCCTGGAACGTGAACTGCTGTGGGGAGCTGGCATAGAAGACTTCACCTGCAATTACACAAACCATGGACTCAAGAATTCACTGCAGTGTTTAGTTCCTGTTCCATCAACCTCTCTCTTCCTTTTGCGTTCCTTTCCTAGGGGCTGGCGGGATGAAGGAAACGTTAAAAACACTGGATGTGTACAGCCTGGACGAGTGACAACTAAGGGGGGAGACGCACAACTATGGGGGAAGACCAGTATTAGGAAGGTACAAACCTCAAGGAGGGAGCGGAATTTCTAGGGTAGAACAAAGGGGTGTATGTTCTACTTGGAGTCATATGATGACATTAAGTGAAAGAATATTTTTAGCCTGTTTTTCAGAGGCACTGAGCCCCCACTGCTCCCATTGACATCAGTTGTAAGCATCGGTGGTCAGCATCTGTGAACATCATTTCCCAATGAGAGATACCAGAATGTGGAATTTCTCCCTGAGGTAAATAATGGGAGCTCCTTGGCTTTAGTCATTAAAACTAGAGTGAACAAAGCCCAGAAAAACTAGGCTTTAGGGGATAATCCAGCCTTGGCAGGGGATGGGACTAGATGGGAATCTCACATGACATGGCTTTTGCATCTCTAATGCCTCTGACTTCTAGTTCCTTGCCTCTCATTTTATCCTTATTTGCAGTGAGGGCGCTCATAATATTGCCTGCTCAGCCCCATGGGAATTACATAGGAGAAACCCAAAAGTACCTTGCATTTCCTCTGCGTAACAATAAACATCGTATGTTTCATTTGTCTCACGAATGCCATAGGTCCTCACTCCAGGAAACGTATCCTTGTCACCATAGCAACCCTCTCGGGGATGATGCATTGGGTACCTGAGAGTGAGAGTACACACAGGAAATGTCTAGTGAGCAGACAGAAGTTTCATTGGAAAGATGACAGCCACATGGCTCTGTGGTACCATCAGGATGAGCTGAACAAATGGTGGAGAATAAGAATTGGGATATGACATTCTGGAGGGAGGGAGGAATTGGAGCAGGATAAAACCCCAGAATTTTTCCTGAACAGAAGTTGAACTTAACTTATTCCTTTCTATTCTTGACAATGCAGGGAAGGGGAGAGGAGCCCTCCAGGTGTCTCTCTGATGCAGGGGAAGTTGCTGGTTTTCAGACTCCTCTGAACCCAGCTAGATGACTCCTAGATGTGTGCAAAATACCACCACATCTGTTGAGCTTGGCACGTAACCTATGCAGTTTGCATGGGCAAAAGGAGAGGGTAGGTGGATGAGGATTTAACCACCACTCTCAAGTCTCTGGGCCATTCAGTCCTTAGTTTCTCAGCTGTGACCACCAAACAAAGGGGCTGGTTGTGAGAGTGGTTTTATGACGTGGATACTTATCTATTGAGAAATGGACTGAGATCCACCAGCTCATTCCACACCATATGACTATCAGATGGTAACTGATAGTCATTATTTACCTGAAACAGGCTTAACCTAACTATTTTCATGTGAAAAGCTTTGTGTCCCATTTCCCTTCCTGCCTGTATAGCCCTCTTTTCTTCCCTCTTGGCCACCTGGCTTCCTTTCTTTCAGTTGATTACCTGACAGTCTGGTCAGCCAGCCAGCCGGCATCACACTGATCAAACCCATCATCATAGGCAGCCTGCAGCTGTTCAGGGGTAGCAATGACAGCACTATTCTGGATACACGCCTGCTTTGCCTTCTCGAAGTCCAAAGTATACCTGGAGGAGATGGCTCTGTAATGGAACACGATTCCTGGAAAACACATTCACCAGTACACACACACGCATCAGTCAGTGAAGAACCAGCCCCTCGCCAGTTTCCCTTTCGAAGGGGTCAACAAGTCAGAGAAGAGGCATTCTAACTCATGTGGAAAATCATGCATTTGCCACGGATTGCTCATATTGCAAGGATAGTCCACTGTGCCCTGAAGATACTATGTTTCCCCAATGCTATATTCCACCATCCCACGTCCACCAGGCTTCAATCTCAGGGCAATGAGATGTGCTCCCTTTGGTGAACAGACCTGCCATTCAGTCCAGGGTTTTTTATCCTATGATGTTGGAGCACACTTGGTACATCTAAATCCAGTGTTTTAATGCTAACTGCTTCACCATAAACCAAAATGCAACGAACACGTCAGTCAGAAGGATTCAAAACATTCAAGACATTTACAGTGTCTGGCATTGCACAGCACAGTATTGTGAAAACCCTCTATGGAAATTGGCTAATTGTGTGTTATCAGTATAATGGTGAATTATTTATTATAGACTTGTGTATGTCCAATAGCCCAATCAGGATAGAGGCTCCAAAGCATGGGGCCCTGTCCGAACACACAGGAAAGCATGGCCCTTGCCTTAAGGATTCCTTTATTTCATACAAAGCAAATGTGCTTTGAAAAGTTGTCTGTACTGCAAATGTAGTTAAGACACAGCATTCCAGAGAGAGGGACTTTTAAAAGGAGTGGGTGGCTATATGCATAAACATCAACAAGGGTTAAACCTCCTTGCACCCTCTCTTTTTTGGTCCCTCTTCTCACTCACCAGTTTCATTGGTGAGAGAAACAATATCCACTGGGGAAAGTTAATTGTGTGTTATATTATCTACATATCAGTGAACTAAACCACTTTTACATTTCTTGAAAGAATATAACAATGTCTTTACTGAAACAGACGGATGAGGCCATCCATACAATATCCCATCTCCTAACATACTAGGTTAAGGTATGTCTACACTACAAAGTTAATTCGAACTAATGAACGTTAGTTCGAATTAACTTTCAAAGGCGCTACACTAGCGCTCCGCTAGTTCGAACTTAATTCGAACTAGCGGAGCGCTTAGTTCGAACTAGGTAAACCTCATTGTACGAGGACTAGGCCTAGTTCAAACTTACTAGTTTAAATTAAGGGGTGTGTAGCCCCTTAATTCGAACTAATGGGAGGCTAGCCCTCCCCAGCTTTCCCTGGTGGCCACTCTGGCCAACACCAGGGAAACTCTA